CAGCTGAATTACACCTCATTTCAACGCCTTTGGAAGCATAGATGGCGGCAATTTGTGGCAGAAATGTTTCGGCAACACCTTGAGCGACCAAAAGACCTTCAGCCGCATTGCAGGGGCTGTATTTTTGGGTTTTGGCATTGTCAGCAATTTTCACGGCCATGGCGATATCGCATGGGTCGTCAACATAGACATGGCAATTGCCGTCGAGGTGTTTGATTACAGGAACTTTGGCTTCACTGCTGACACGCTCAATCAAGCCTTTGCCACCGCGTGGGATGATCACATCAACATATTCAGGCATGGTAATCAATGCACTTACAGCCGCGCGATCAGTGATGGGTACAAGTTGCACGGCGTCTTCTGGTAAACCGCTTTCTAAGAGTGCTTGGCGAACCAAACCAGCTAGTGCTTGATTGGATTCAATTGCTTCAGAGCCGCCGCGCAAAATACAGGCATTGCCGCTTTTGATGGAAAGGCTGGCAGCTTCAATCGTGACATTAGGACGGCTCTCGTAAATCATGCCAAAAACGCCAATCGGCACACGCATCTGCCCCACCCGTATGCCGCTGGGCTGCTCGCGCATCCCTATGATTTCCCCAATAATATCTGGCATCAAAGCAAGCTGCTCGCAACCCTGGGCTACGGTGTTGGAGGGATTGAGAAAACGCATAAACAAAATTGGAGAGTCGGGCAGGGTAGATGTGCACTGTACATAGGCTGCAGTTTGGTAGCTCGCTCCTTGAGCTATGCTGAGGTACGGTCCTTGGGCTTGGCTAGCAAAGCGGATATTGTCCGCACCAAAAGCTATCGCTTGCGATTGAAACTCACCGCGATTAGCCAAGTTTGGTGCTGCCTGAGAGGAAAACATACTCCCATAGGCCACAGATTTGTTCAAAGCGTTGGGATTATTTTGACCAGGTCTAAGCTGGGAAGCTGCAGCCAAAGCGCAGGCATCTACCGCATTTTGTAGCTCCGTTTTTAAAACATAGAAACGCCCCAAGTCTATGACCAAACCGCAAATACCTAGCAGGACCAGCAACACCAACGCAAAAATGACCGATACCACGCCCGACTGTCTTGGTTTGCGTGAGACTGTGTAAAGGGGTGTGAAATGCAAGGGTTTCATAGTGTGGCCTCTGGTGGGCAGTTTTCATAATCTGTTTATATTTCTACAGCGATTTACTTGCCTGAACCTTTGCTTTGCAACACTTCAAATGATTTGCTGGGATGTTG